AAAATTTAATCGTTAATAAACATTCAGTTCATATACTTCTTGATCCTGTCCCTATCTTATCATTTTGGTAATATTTTTGAAGCTTGCTCGGGTGGGATACAATAAATAGATACAAATTTAAGTTATATCAAAAGATCGGAAAATATTAAGCAGATAACACCTGCGCAACAGGTATCAAATAGGAAGCTGTCTGTTGGTTCCTTCTCGTACAATTCCTCAGAAATTTAAAACCCCAATCAGGTTATCTATTGATCCTCTTGACTGGTCAGAAGTTGTCTGCAGTTGAGAGACACATTTCAATGCAGCATGGACTATGCCCGACATCTTGGTTGACTTTTCAGAAGTTGTCTTTAGTCAAGAGGAACATTTTTATGCAGCATAGCTTATGTTTGACACCTTTGTTGACTGGTCAGAGATTGTATGCAGTTAATAAAGTAAGTATTCATGATTATAATTCCCGTTTTGCTGACTGGTTAGTATTTGACTAGAGTCAAGTTTTTTGTATACTTTTGGAAACTGTTTCATGTAATTGTCATTTTTAAAGGCTTTTGTATTGCTATCTGATTCCTGAAAGAAAATAGTGTTTTTGTCAATAATATTGTACATAACTATATATCTTTCTTGTTTACATTTACTATTGTATTGTCTTGCTTTTATATTGATATTGTAAAAATATTTAAATGCCTTAGAATGATTCATCTTGCCGTGGAATTTGTGTCTCCTGACAAATAGCCTTTGGATTGGTTGATGTAATCTTCTATTGGACTGTCATTATGGTGCTTGGGGTCAGACTGTGCACTATTTTGCCTATGATGTGTTATACTCTATATCTGAGTCCCCCTTTCTCATCCCCCATTTTTTTTTACTGTGTTTTACTTCTTTTCGTCATTTACTTCACTAATTGACATATTTTATTTCTACATGATGTTCTTTGTTTTTGCCTGCTTAAAAAAAAAACAATCTCAGTTCGGCAGGAGAACTAAGGAACATAAAAATACTCAAATTATCATGATACGAGTGGCCAAAAAATGTTGTATATACTTTTAAAATTTATCCTTTTTAAAGCTATGAATTATAAATTATTCAATTTCTTTGTCTTCCTAATTCCTTTTTTCTGTACTATTCCTAGGGTACATAAAGGCCTATCTATTAAGCTTTTGTATTTTACAAGTTTCTTGATATGTTTGAGACCAAATTAAATATCCTAGAAATTCCACAAAAAAGTAGTATCAACGTTTCTTAAACAAACAAAGCATTCATTTTATATTCATTTACATGTATGTAGTTTACGGGGACGGAACTGGAGTAATATATTTACTACAAAATGTAGATGTAAATCATTTCTGAAATAGCACCCAGGTTTTTTCAACCCTCGGAATATAAAGAAAGAAAGATAACTCTTCCGGTCGGATCTTTTAATTTTATATATATATATATATATATATATATATATATATATATATATATATATATATATATATATATATATATATATATATATATATATATATATATATATATATAAAATTAAAAGATCCGACCGGAAGAGTTATCTTTCTTTCTTTATATTCCGAGGGTTGAAAAAACCTGGGTGCTATTTCAGAAATGATTTACATATATATATATATATATATATATATATATATATATATATGTATATATATATATATATATATATATATATATATATATATTAGGGATGTCAACTCGATCGATCGTCCGTGTATCGAATACTAAAATTGGTACTCGGTTACTCGGATGTGTATTTTTTTCTTATTTCAAAGTACATATTTATATTTTTATTAAAAACTTATCAAAAAAATAACTTAAATATGCATACGGCTAATCAGCGTGTTGTTATCTACACCTGGAAAACACCCGTTATCGCCTATGGCTGTGTATAAACAGTAATTAGTGACCAATCACCCAGCTGTTCTCACCTACTGTGATCCTTAATTTGTTGATGGTTTCAATGATTGTTTTTCAGTGAACATCGTTTAATATGGTCTATTATCTTCAAATCATTTATAAATTATTTAGTTAATATACGGCAGCGAAATCGAACATGCAAAGAAATGCCGCTACCCACTTCAAAATAAGTAAAGATTCAAAAAATGTAAAGTCAGTTCCCGTAGTAAGTTTAGTGTATACGGGGGAAACAATCAACAAATGAAAAAAATTAGACTAGCGATTCCACAACGTCCGTTCCTTCTCTTTCGCTACGAAACAGATTGTCTTCCTTTTGCGTTGATGAAATAGATCCTAAACAAGAACTGTAAACCATTTGCATAATTTTTTGTGTATTTAATGTGTCTTTTGTGTTTATTTGATAAGTAAATTTAGTACCAAAAAATCATTTCCGTTGGACTCCATGTTTACATACATTCATAAAACGTGATAAAAAACAGCTTTGGGGGTTAACAGAGATAAACGGGGCTCTAAGAAATTTAAGTGAACACAATTGTATTTACATTTTCACCGAGTACCCGTGTACTCGATCGGAAAAACGTCCGAGTAACCGATTATCAAAAATTGACCGATTTGACACCCCTAATATATATAATTATATATAATCAAAATCTAATTGTAGACTTTCATACCAATTGTTAGGCCATTATTTACACACTGAATTGTTGACGGATTTTTCCGTTTTTTTTCCCGATCATGAGAAGGAGCACACTGCGGGTGTGACCGGTCGGCAGGGGATGCTCACTCCTCCATGGCACCTGATCCCACCTCTGATGTTTGGAGGTCCGTGTTTGCTCTGCTCCTATTTTGTATTGTTTGATGGACTTTTGAGCCTGAATACTGTTCGTTATCTTCATATATTTCATTTCATGAAATGCTGTCCGTGTGTTTTCAAGAAATAAAGTTTTCCCTGTTTTACGCTTATTTTTTGTTGAAAATAAAAATAAAAAAAATACTGAGAAATATTTCTTGTCATTTTTACTTTTATATGCACTATATTATTACCTAATATAAGTGCCAGTATATAATATATATTAAGAGCCCGTAACTCCTGCCTATAATATTAAGCTTTTGAAAAAAGAATCATATAACAAAAAAAATCATTATTGTATTTCTCATTAAAATAATAAAATAATAATAATAATAAAAAATTAAAATTACAATTTAACATACTGAAAGGTGGGGGTATTTCAAATCCTCCTTATTTGGGTAAATAAATATGTAGGAGGTATTTCGTTTGGTATCAAATACCACCTTAAGAAAGGAGGTTTTGCTTCATGTCTTGGATTCTAAATAAAATGACGTTGACCTTCATATATGAAGAACCCTTCGTTAAAAAGTTTTCAAAATGCTAAAGCTTAATACTTACTACAAGTTACAAGATTAATTAACATGTCTCTTTTCAAGATAACCCCTCCCCCTTTTGAAACAGAAAAGTAAATATGCAGATATAAAAATTACTAGGGAAAATCTTGAGAATTTCATTAATAAATTTCAGTTCCGTTGATGTGATCTGATGTCTAGCTAACATTAATTTATCTACTGTGTGTCTTTAGAGTTTATAATTATTTTAGTAAAATTGATTTATCTTAAGAAACTATTGTCAGATGTATTCATTTCGTTAATTCATTATTCATTTCGCATTTTCTTGTGAATGTATTTCTTGTATAATATGAATAATTTCATTCACTGATAATCAAAATTATTTAAATATAATTTTCATTTAGTTTTCATTAGTTTTTAGTAATTTGAAAATGCTGGGATTCGCTCCAGCAGGTGCGAGAAGGCCTCATCATTACTGTATACAAAACATTCAGCACACTGGATACGTTCATGATTCTCATAATCTAAGAATGCTTGCACATGCTTTATCGTCTCATTAAAAAAATCAGCTCATGTCCAGAGCAGAAATACTCGAACTGTAGAGGGAAAAGCAGGAATTATTTTGATACTGAGTCGAGTTTTCTCTACGACGGAAAAGGCCGAGTGATGCTCGGCCCTTTGATTGCTGCATCTGCTGCAATTTGATTTGCTTAAACTTTAAATGGCCATAACGACTTTAGTTTTCAACAAAACAGGATGAAAGTTTAGAATAGAGATAGGTACATGTATAATGGGTCCTTACATTATGCTATTATCGAAATTGAATGCAAGAACATGCATGCACGTGTGCTGGATTCTGAATGGCTAATACTTATATAACTTTGTTTCTCATAGTTTTCAATGAAAAATTAATTCACAGTATTTATTCTTAGTCTCTTTACGAGGAAGATATGGGAAATATTTAGAAAACACTGGCATGCACGTGCATTGAGATCTGATTGGCTAATACTCAAAGGACTATACTCGTGTTGTTTTTCGATGCAATACTTCTGAAATTATTAAACAAAAGAATTGCCTAGTTAACAAATCTTGTAAAGGGGCCCATAGGAGAGTGAGGAAGCGTTTGGGGGACATCTGTAACGGTTCCTGTTACAATTAGCACTAGTTAATTCTAGAACTAGGATTTTTTTTTAAATTAAGTAATTGACAAAAACCTAAATTCAAGTTTTGCCCATTGAAGACATGATCAAATAATTTTGCTCACCAAAAACTTCATGACAAAATACAATGTAACTCACAAATGTCCGTAATCCAAGGCAGTATGTGAAGAAGAGGCAGACTGACGCGCAGCGTGCCAAGAATTTTATTTGCTAGATTTTGATTGCTCTCCTAAGACATGAAAGAAAATAACCATTATCGAGCATTACATGTACCATACAATATTTCAGATTTTAGCATTGAAGGATGTATTTATTACTACTAAAATTTTGAAGTAAATTTAAATTTATTTATAATTAATTAGTCTGTAAAATTCCTATATATCTCAGTAACCGAAGAACAGTTCTACTAAATGATACTCGCATCGTTCGAAGGTTAACACATTGAGCGAGTAGTCGTTGACAACAATAGTTAATATGTAGATTTAAAAAAATGTAAATGAACTTGAGAACACATAATTTGGAAAGATTTGATTTTTTAATTACATGCGCTGGTTATCTATAAATCTCAAAACCTTTTGACAAATATTATATGTAGGTAACAGGGGTTTCACATATAAATCCAATTACGTCCGAATTAGGGTCAGTTGCTACAAATCTGTTTCCTTGCACGTAACCCATCACTGTATTTGCATTCACGTTGTTGCTTATGATGCCACTTCCGGTATAAGGTAGGAGATTACCGTTATCATCCTTCCAGGGATCAGCAGCGTTGCTCCTAGAGCCTTGAACTAAGGCACCAACCAAGTTCTGAGCCTCTAAAATACACAGTGTCTGTTACTTATATAATATTCTATCTAATTGACACAACTATATTAGTCATCTACGATTATATATATATATATATATATATATATATATATATATATATATATATATATATATATATATATATATATATATATATATATATATATATATATATATATATATATAAATAGATAGATAGATAGATAGATAGATAGATAGATAGATTAAACCATTATAAAATGAATTCAATATGTACAAACTCCCTTGCCGTAAGTCAATTACAAAGTATTCTTGAATGCGTCATGCAGGCAAAAAATATGGCCTTAAATTTTGTTACAAAAATTAACTTACGCAATTCTTTTGTTAGGACATCTCCCTCTTCTTCAGAATTAACCAACAATAGACTGCCACCATCTCTAATACACTCTTGTTTGGCATCGGCTGTAGAAATAATTCTCTTAACAACACGGAAACATCCAGCTGATGGGTCGTATTTATAACCAGATGTGGTACAAGTTGGTTCTCTGCAAGTGATTAAATGACAAGAATGTAAACAGGAATCTAAATCATGTGAGAGTACATGGAATTGTTGCATTATCGTAACATTGCGAATTCTGTGCTTCACCATTGTCATGCCATTACGAATACTGTCGTTCATCGGTTTTCTTCGAACACACATTATCGTTGTTTTCGTGGTTGACAAGTCCACAACATTGGGTGATCAATAAGCTAAACATTTTGATAATGTAGAATAGGACGACGTTTGCGTCCCCAAATGTACATATGAAAAAAAAAAAAAACAAGTTGTTTGCCAAAAACCATGAAATTGATCCATATGAAGAGAAATGAAACCAAAATACAGCAAATGGGTCATTTCCTGTTCACAAAACATATAATCAGTATTCCCAAAACAATGTGACGTCCAGTAAGGTATCATCAGATTCTTTTTCTAATGTGAATCCGAGCCAAGCAATGATCTTAATATACCTATTAAATTAAAATTGAATAACTTTATAAGTCTGAGGTACTTGTTTGCGACTCATTTGTGCATTTGTGACAATAAAATACATTCAAACATTGGACGTCTCATTGATTATCATTTAGTATTAAAAAAATAAAATCTAAAAGTAAAGAGTTTTTCCTAAGAGATAAATTTTATCAAATGTATTAAAACTCCTGATATAAAAGACTTGCTAGACCTAAATACGAATTTTATAGAGAAATATTGTGCAAAAATTCCTTGAAACCTATTCTTTTAGATGTTCATTCATAATATGAGGCAAGATCAAAACTTTAAATACTGATATAAAACTCAATTAACAAGCATTCTGAGAGTATTGCATTAGCAATACTAGTCCCCTACCGGCAAGTGTAATCGGGTTCCCGTTAAAAATTGAAAATGCCATAATTCCGTCAAAAATCAATGAAGCGGAACGAAATGCAAACTTGATCTATAACTACAGACCCTGAAACGTGCTACTACCCCACACGCACGCTGCACGAACGGTACACGCTCGCTACACGGTTTGCACGAAACGCTGCACGGTTTACACGAAACGCTACACGGTTTGCACGAAACGCTACACGATTTACACGAAACGCTTTGCACGAAAGGCTGCACGGTTTGCATGAAAGCCTGCACGAAACGCTTTGTACACGTTTCTCACACGCTTTGTACACGATTCTCGCACGCTTTGGCCTCGATCTGGATTTTCTATTCGGAATCTCTCAGACTTTATTTAAATAATTATGGATTAATCAAAGATTAGTTAAGAATTGCAATCATTCTGATTAAGTTAAGATTAAACCACGCTACACCAGTACTATACTAACAGATAAAATACTCAATGTTCAGTTGTAATTAATTAATAGTTGTCAATGAGTATGTGACCCGGCCGGTGAAATGCCTATCATCGTTTATGTACAAACCTTTTCATTAGTCTCTGAATTACGCACTGAAAAAACAAATATATTTGTAATTCATAATCTTTTACAGCATTCAATGTTTTTACAATTATAGTTTGATATTATAAAGTCGTTTTTATTACTGACAAATAAATGCAGTTATTGATTTGAAAAAAAAAAGATTAAATTGCGTATGATTTCTGTAAACGGATTGATTTTCTTTTCCTTTCTTTTTTTAATTATTGATTTATTCATTTTTTAATTTAGTAAATAAATAATTTCAATTGATTAAATTAGGTTCTGCTTATAATTTGCAAAGGTAATATGTACACTGCATCAAACAAGAACATTGTGCGTGAAAAGGGGGGGGGGGTAGATTACCGAGATCTTACTTCTGTACCTGGCTAAATATAACGGGCACTTGTTTCAGTAAGTATACCATTGGAAAAAAATGATTATAGAAACAAATGCTCGTTCTGAGAAAAAAAGATATCCATATCTCCAACGGGACTCATTAAATGCACTTTATTCAGAATGGTTAATATATCGTTTCATTACAGAGTTGAACTTTAATTCATCAAAAATTTTATATGGTAGAAAAGCCGGGGGATAGGTATTGTAATTCTTTAGTTCTCTTTGGAGGCATTGTGTTTATCAAATAAAAACAGTATATCCACCACCTTGTAAAATCCTTGATTTCAAACCCCGTCTAGCCAAAAAAAAAAAAATGTAATCAATAGTCGCAGCTCTTAACAATACATTCAGTATACATGTATACATGTCCAATCACCAAAAACTAAAAATTATGCTCTAGAACTGCGTGATTAACTAATACATAATTATTCAGGATTTATTTCTTTTTAATTTTTTATTCACGAATACACTGGCAAATTAATTCACTGTTTACAGACAGTCGGTTAAATTTAAGAAATAAAATCCACGGGTATTTATTTGTACCCATTAAATACTATTAAAACAATTTAATTCATGAATTATTGTCGGTTGTCATCTTGGCCATGACTGACAAGAGCTAATACATGTAGCAGAACACGTTTTCATACACGTTTTCAGTTCCCGGCACGCGGAGCCCGTGATCGCTGTTCTAAATTACCTTGATCTCAGTCGTAGGAAGAGTGTTGGAAGTGTAAAGAAGATTCCAATATATTTTTAAGGGGTGCATCGGGCATCTTTAAAAAGAAAATTATTTATAAAAACGTGTTAACAAAAACTCAAAGTTTGTGTTTTCATTTGAACATTTGAACACCCCCCCCCCCCCCCGGAAATATTTAACCCTATATTTGTGAATTATGATTCCTTTATATGACAATTATTAATCAACCAATTTTATGCATAAAAAGACTATAAATGACTCATCGTTTCAAAATTATTTGTATCACAATCTTGTAATATAAGAAAATTTTTTTCGTTTATAAAGAAAAAAAATTAATTGTGTTCCCCGGCCTTGAATTCCCATACTCCATATTTATAGCAACGCTATATGTGTTTTATTTTTCATGCCTGCCTTATCTATCTATTATTTTGTATTAATCACCAATATGTTCTCGTAGTCTCTATAAACCATAATTGTAAAATGATGAAGAGATTCTAATAAATGAATGAATAGGACAAGACCGGATTCCTGATGAATTTTCTTTAAAAATTGTTCAGTATTGCTCCCTTTAAAAATGTATTGAATCAAATACCTTAACATTGATGTGCATATAATTAATTACTTCCAACACATTTTCTTTCCATCTTTATTTAAATAAAAAAAGAAAGAAAATCAAACAAATATGAAATACATTACCGAGTAATTTTATTTTGTTGTTTCCGTATTTTTTTCTTAAAATACCACCGGTATGATATATCCGAATAATATTAGTTACGAACAACACAGAATGACATGTTAATCCATCAATAGCCATATCAAAATAAAATGACTTCCGAATGAATCCTACACGTTTCTCACACGATTCTTGCACGAAAGTCGCACGTTTCTCACACGGTTCTTACACGAAAGTCGCACGTTTCTCACACGCTTCTCGCACGCTCGCTACACGGTTTGCACGAAACGCTTTGGAGGTTACACGAAACGCTGCACGGTTTACACGAAACGCTACACGGTTTGCACGAAACGCTGCACGGTTTACACGAAACGCTACACGGTTTGCACGAAACGAAAAGCGCACGAAAGTCACACGCTTTTTTGGGGTAGTAGCACGTTTCAGGGTCTGTAAATCAAGGTTAAGTCACATACCATAAATCTGTGCAATATCTGCAAGCGTTTAGAAGAAAATTGTGGAAAATCCTTAAAAATTGAAAATATCGTAATTCCGTCAAAAATCAATGAAGCGGAACGAAATGCAAACTTGATCTGTAACTTATAAAGATACACTCACAAAACAAAAATCAGCTCAATATCTGCAAGCGTTTTAGAAAAAAGTGCGGAAAAGCAAGTGGGACAGACTGATAGACAGACATACAGACAGACGGACAGACAGACAGAGGGACATACAGACAGACAGACAGACGGACAAACTCAGAGGAAATCTATAGTTTCCTCCAGTTTTACCGGTAGGGGACTAACAAGCAAGTTTACATCAAAACCTCCTTTAAATCTAAATGTAATGAATGTTGATTGAAATTTAATTATCACGTATATTTGATTTTACATGTAACACTGTCATTCATTTCTTTATTTGAACCTCAGCATCATTTTACAATAGTACATGTATATAGAAATCACAAGAAGACAGATGATTTATATAAAATACTAGATAGATAAGGCATGAGTGAAAAGTAAATAAAAGAATTAACTCCCTCCTTCACACCAAAAAATTATCTAAAGATTCTCAGGCACTGCAACAACGAGGAAAAAAAACTGATTGAGATATCTGGGACAATCTTAATGAAATTTCAAAGACAACATAATCAACAATTATGCTTTTCACATTTCATATTTTTCCAATATCAGCATTTAAGGAAGGCAGACGAGATATTTTATATTTTCATCTTCATTATTCTTAGTAACTAAATAGCCAATTTCAAAAGAAAAGAAATTAGAGATTGTTTTCCTTGCATCATAACAAGGTAGTTTTTAGCAAAATAAGAAAGGAATGTTTGGACATCTGTCTCTGTTGTCTCTGGTTTTTTTTTTTTTGTTTTTTTTTCCCCCAAAATATTTCACTTTTTTCTTTAGAATGGTAGAAAGATTTAGTTAACTGGCCCTTGTGTTTGCTGACATTCAGGTTGGATACTGTGCTAAATAAGATTTAAATAATGCCTACATGTATATGTTTACATCCACTGAAGATGTTCTCCTTTATTTCTTATGAAAACCTATTTAGAAAGCATCGGTTATATTCGGGTTTTTTAGTCCCCTGCCGGTGAAACCGGAAGGGACTATAGGTTTCCTCTGAGTCTGTCCGTCCGTCTGTCGGTATGTCTGTCTGTCCGTCTAGCTGTCCCTCTGTCTGTCAGTCTGTCTGTCCCACTTGGTTTTCCGCACTTTTTTCTAAACGCTTGCAGATACTGTGCTTATTTTTGGTATGTGAGTGTATCTTGATGGGTTACAGATCAAGTTTGCATTTCGTTCCGCTTTAATGATTTTTGACGGAATTACGACATTTTCAATTTTTCAGGGTTTTCCGCATTTTTTTTTTCTAAACGCTTGCAGATATTAAGCTGATTTTTGGTATGTGACTTAACCTTGATTAGTTATAGATCAAGTTTGCATTTCGTTCCGCTTCATTGATTTTTGACGGAATTATGGCA